TTATTTCGTAGTAAGCCTAGCATTAGAAACAATGTTTTCAATATAGCTGACATGAGTGGGAAAGGAACCACCAATTGATTTGTGTTAATACAAAATTTTCTAAAGTTATTTAAGAAGGCACCGACGTGAGATCAAACCCGTGATATCCTGTTTACCAGACAGGCGTTAGAACCAACCAAGCTACGGCGCCTGCGAACCACATACATAAGGTGAATCTAAGTAATCATGGGGCTAGAAGAGAATTTTGTTCTTAGGTAAAAGATAGTTGCTGAACTTTTCTCAAAACTATACCCTCCCTTCTAAGTTATTCTCAGAAAAGTGTTTGTATTAGGAATAGTTGGTTTTTCAAATACAATGACATGAGGAAAGGAAAACCACCACTGATTTGTAACAATATGCAAAATCTCTAAAGCTATTTAAGAAGGCACCGACGAGATCTCGAACTCGTGATCTCCTGAGTTTCATCAGGACAGGCGCTTTAACCAACCAAAGCCACGGCGCCTGCGAACTGGCTACTACATGTTAGAATCCGTTAATCATAATAAAGAAATTTCGTCTTCGAAAATAAATCAAAAGATGTTTGCTGAACTTTCTGAAAAACTATACCCTTCCTTCTCTAAGTTATTTCGTAGTGCAAGCCTAGCATTAGAAACAATGTTTTTCTAAATACAAATGACATGAGTGACCTGAACCACCACTGATTTGTAACAATACAATTTAAAGCTATTTAAGACGACACCGACGAGATTCGAACTCTCGTGATCTCCTGTTTACTAGACAGGCGCTTTAACCAACTAAATACTTATGCCAACGAACTTTTGTTCATGTTAAATGTATGTATATTTATACTTTTAGAATAAAAGTGTTATTCAGAAGCTTTACAAATGTAATATTTTTTTCTTTCATACAATAATACAACACTTGTATTAATCTATTATTAATAATATATTGAATCACTCAGGATTAAAACATTGATTATTTCAAAATGATTAATATTTTATTGTTGTTCTTGTGCTCATGGATTTGGCAAAGAAAAGTATAAAAAAAACTCTAGATTCCACCGAAAAGGGCAACAACTGCGGCTGACCAATTCGGAGCGTTTTGGCTGTAGAACAGCGGTTCTTAAACTGTAGTCCACGGACTACAGGGGGGAGGGTCCACAATGCCTTTCTAGGAGGTCCGTGAGTGTCTCTGATTTAATGTTAAGGTTTTCCTATTTTACAGACTAGAAAAACCCTTGGAAAAATTCAAAGGTGAGCTATCCTAGGTTAAATTACTAAATTACCTCTGACGAAAAAACTTATGTAGAACATGAATTTCTCTCAAGAATATAAATTCAATTAGAATGAAATTAGTATTTTGTAAATTGTTTTTAATTAGGTGTTAACTTCTTTCTAAAAGGGGGAAAAGAGTGTTAAAAAAGTCTGTATAACTCACAGAGGCAGACTTTAAACCAGGATCCTTTAAATCAGTGGTCTCCAACCTCCGGTCCGTGAACCAGTACCGGTCCGTGGATCAAATACTACCGGTCCGCACAACAAAGATTGAAATATTTCCTTTTTATTTACTGTGGTATATTTTTCTTATGTTTGGGCTACTTTTTGTGAAATTCACTTTATATTTCTTGTTAAATCACTTTATATTCATATTTGGTTTAGTTATATTTTATTCTGGTCACGATTAAATACAATTAAATTAAAATTATGAAATCAAAACAGTCTAAAACAGGGTTACTCAACCTTTTTTTCAACTGGGCAACTTTTTTTCAACATATGTCAGTTACTTCAAAGCGGGCCGCAACATGAGGATAAATAGAGGAGGGGGAGGGGGGGGGAATGCTCTATGACCAAGATAACATTGAAAATTTAAAATGTGGAAAATATTGATCAAAATATGATAACTCCTGTTTTGCTTTTTTTAATTATTATTTATTTTTTATTTTTGTCCCTTACACTAAATTAGAAGCAATAAAGAAACACTCCTTCACAATTTCTGCATCAGTAAACGGTTTCATAAGATTACCAGTCATATAACAAACTTCAGAGGATGTGTTTGTTACCGCTGTGAAATTACTGCTGACGAAACATTTCGCTGCTGTTGCAAAGATTATTCAAGAAAGACTATTTATCACCTCTTGAAAAAGATCTTCGAGTAAGAGTGTCATTGAATGATTCCTGTTAATTGGTAGTTTTAAAATACAGCACTTTCGTGACAAAACAAACATTTACTGATCTATGTTTGTTTTTCACTGCAAAACAATTAACCTCCCAATCTTCTTGAAATGATATATTTTTTCGAATATTTTTCAGTGGCAAGATATGAAAAGTAGTTAGAAATTACTTCCACCCATAAAATTGTCACTAATCCACTGTTGTCTATTATCCCTAACTGTAATCGTTCCAAACAGAAAAGGAATATCAATTCATACCCGTACGACACCTACAACAAAAAGCAGAATTGATGTATTTGATTTCTTGACAAAGAATTTCCTACCAAATTTGTAATACAATGTTCTTAAATAAGTAAATTTCTCAGAGCAATGGGCCATGATCGGACAACTCAAAAAGGCTCGGTGGGCCACATGTGGCGCGTGGGCCGCACATTAATTATCGCTGGTCTAAAATATAAACAATCAACGTCCTCCCCCTCAGCGGACCACGGTAAAATTAACAAATGTGGACCGGTCCGTGGCAAAAAAAGGTTGAGGAACACCGCTTTAAATTTCTCAGCAATGAATTGGAAGTCGGGGAGGGGTGTGCAAAATCTTAGGGATCCTCGATGTCAGGCTGATAAATAAGGGGGAGTGCCGCGGTGATCAAAAGTTTAACAAACAATGCTTTAGATATCTCCTGTAGTGGTTCCATAAGTGGAGTCAGACTGGACCATAATGCACTTGGGGAAAAGCTGGTTAGTCGAAGATATGCTGTAGTGTGAGAGTTTGGATAACTGAGCAGTCTGTACACACTGCAGGGAAGACCTTGTTTCTTCAGGAAGGATTTCCATGCCCTTGTGGTGACGGGTTCTTAGTCTTATGATTATAGATGTTATGATTCTTTTGGGTAGTCGAAATCTGTCATGTGTGGTTTCGTAAAGGAATGGGGTAAAAGTCTAGATCTGGCCACAGCGTTTGCATCAGCAAGTGTGATACTGGCACACAAGGCTGGTCATGTTCTCTGGCTTCTTTGGTCACATAATCACCACACTTATTTGCTTCGATATTTTTATGTGCCGGTATCCGTTGTAGCACACAGGATTTCCCCTTGAAATGTATCTGCTCGAGTAGAAAATTTATGGAGGAGATGATGTTAGGCTCTCCGCTTATGATGGCATCGAAGGAAGATTTAGGATCTGAAAAGATTATCAATCTTCTGTAGTATTCACGGCTTACGAATCAGTCATCTATATGGTGAGAGTTTCTTTAACCGCGAAGAGCTCGCTGATGAAGTAAGAAGCTATTACACCAGTGTTAACAGTGTGTTCGCATTTCCTGCCTTCCAGAAAGATAAGGATAATATCAGCTATGCTTTTGTTGAGAGATTTTTCTAAAGAGCCGTCGGTGTAGGCAACTGCCAGGTACTCTTGAGAAGGCTTTTCTATTTTATCAAGTCCTTTACGCTTAAGAACATTAGGGTTTTCTCTTTTACAGCAAGGTTGCTATATTTCAAAAATAATAATAACTATTATTCTGAAATTAAAATGGAAATACTACTTAACTTACTAATTTTTTTATGAAAGAAGAGTTATCTAATTTTGAAATCAAGAAGAATGTCCATATTTTCTTATGATTGCATAAACGAAAGAAGGAATAATGCATTTAAATACAGCAAATAAGATTATTTCAAGTTTATATGTAAATAAGAATTTATGCAAATAAGAATACATCAAGTTTTTGTAGAGTATTAGTGGGTTTATATGTGTCTATATATATATGAAAACTCTAGATAAAGTCATTCGTTCGATTTACAAATATTGTTTGAAAACGCAAGCATATGTTAATCCATTTACAGTAAGAAATGCATTATTCAAACGCTTTATAAAAATAAATAAAAGTATAAAACTAATATAAATATTGAAATTTATGAAATATTTGCATCGTCATCTATTTTTTCTGAGTTTCATTCTACAAATGATTCTAAAACTTAACGCTAAATATTTTCCTTCTTAAAAATAATTGCATAATTTAAAGCTATTCATTTTATTTATTGAATGAGCATCATTAGTTTTCATTTCAAGAGTAAATGAATAATAACTTCAATAAATTAAAAATATTTATATAATTTATAAATTCAACCTTCCCTCCATATTCGAATTTCATGCATATTATTTATTACATTTTTCATTACGTAATACTCAAATTTTTTAGTAAATAATTCACAATTTTAGCATAAATTCGTTTATCTTAATTGTACTTGTCATGAACATCTTTATCAAGTGTTAAGCTATCATAAAGGTTTGTAGTTATTAAGATAAATTATTATTGATTAAGCCAATTGCGCTTTGTTGGTAGGAAAACAACAGAGGAACCACGGAAATTTTATGGAAAAAAACCGTAGGTTATCTACATCCCAATAAAGGAGGGTCTTAATTCGTTTTTAATCTATTAAAATGATTTTCAAGAAATTTTAATCACATGTTCCAGAGATTACAACTTTTTCTTTTTAAAATCATACTGCTATGTAAATTAATTTTAAAATATAATGAGACGCAATTGACTGTTAAGTGCCAATGAAATAGCGAAGTTAAAGTTTTTTTCTAAACAAATGATATTTAAAACGATTAAATAAAAACAAAAAACATATATTCATAATAGTAATGATAAATACAAACTGAATGTTTTTCAGGATAACATCAAAATAAAGTTTTATAGTTTAGAAAGAGTTTAAACTTTACGTAATGATCAGGTAATACAGCTTTTTTATATCTCTACGCAGAATAAATAATTGGAAGAAGAATATTGCGTGTAAAAGTTCAATCTTAATAGCATTTAATTCTAATTAAATTGATTTTAATTAAACTTCTAAAATGTCAGTTCTTGGCCCAGGAGTTCTGTGTTGCCTTCTGAGTCATGAGTCTTCTGAGTATCATTATCCTGTTCTCCAGATAGGGCAAACATTCTAAACATGTTTTTTTTTCATGGAGTGTTCACAAAGAGATAATAAAAATGTTCCAGTGGTAATAAAAAAAAGAAATGGACTTTTTGTCTCGTAATTATTTTATTGGTTACATTAAATCGCAATAGCAGCTATCACAATTCACTTTGAAAGGATTAAAATAGATATGTAAACGAGAAAAGTATAGATATTATGAGACTTAAAATTTAATCGAATTCAAAATAATGTATTAAAAGAATTTGCTCTAATTAATAGAAAAATAGAACACACTTTAAAGAGATTTATTAAAATTGTTTATCTGTTTGCCTTTACATTAAAATATATGTTGAAAAACTGATTTTTTTAATAACATTGTCATTCTGATAATCTCTTAAGAAATACAATATTTTAG